CTCGATCCCAGGACCCCGGGATCATGACCTGAGCCGAAGGCAGACGCTTAACGACTGAGCCACCCAGGCGCCCCTCACCTTTTTATCTAAAATAAAAACACTGTTCTGCCCATTGTTTGGAGGCACCTGATACAATTTGACTAATGTAATTAAACTACACAAACTTTGCTTCAGTCTTTTAGTTTTGATTTTAGGTCACGAGTACTATAGCGGCCAGCAATAGTAAAATTTGCACTTTGAGGTTCACTGATTTTACTGTTTAACCAATATTTCCCACCCCAAATTTTATTTTTGTTTTTTGTATTCCATATTACTCAGAAAAAGCCTTTATTATTAAGGAATTACCTAAGGAATTATTCTGTGACTTAAGTACATCTCTAATGATCTTTCATTTTAAGTTATACTTTTCTCTGTTGGTGTATAGAATTATGTCCCATTCTAATCTCTTTGTAATTAAAGTTGAAGCAGCAGTTTCTTCCTTGTCTTGATTATCTATAACCTTCCAAAGAGTTTAAATGCACCTTAAGATGGTGCTGATTATAGGCTAATTCAGAATCTTCCTAACTCTCTCTCCTGTCCTTTTCCTATTTTGCTTTTGATTCTTGGGGAAAACCATAGGACTTTTAAATAGCATGCAATGAATTAGTAAGATTAAAACACAAACTATATTAGGTAGTTGCCTTATAAGCTTTTCTTTTTTGATGAAATCTCTTTATACAAATGAGCAGAAAATATTAAACAAATACTTTTCTTCCAGCTAATGATTAGATTGTCATTTATTCCGAATAATACAAATGCCTTATATTTTTGTCACCACCTAGCCCAGCAGAAGAACTGTATTTTGGAAGTACAGAATCTGGAGAGAAGAAAACTTTAATAGTGTTGACAAATGTAACAAAAAACATCGTAGCATTTAAGGTAAATATCAGAAAGATGTAATAAATTCTATGTGGAAATCTGATAGGGGAAGTGATTTCAGACATATTTTAATTGAAAGATTGAGAATTTTTAACTTGCACGGTGTTTTTATTTGATATTTTTAGGCATGTAATACTGCCTTCTAGTTTTAACCACGTGGCATAGCTTATCTACAGTTTTCCCCAGGATCTGTATCTCAGTCTTTAATGAGCCATAATAGGCTAACGTCCAAATTAATCCCAGGCTTTAATGTTTGTGGTAAATAAAAACCCAAGGAAAATCACTCTTCATTATATAAATAATTCATAATGACAGTGAAAATAAAACGATAAAATCAAAAGTGCATTTCCCCCCGAGTGTGATAGAGTTTGGAATGTAGTTTATACTGGATACTGACCTAATGACTGAGTTTACCACTACCCCATATTGTAAGTATTAAGATGTTCTGGATGTTCTTTGAATATAGTGTGTTTTAATTTGTGAACGCTATTATAACATGTCCTAATACACAGGTTTTTTTTTAATTTGTATTATTAAATTTAGGAAATTACCAGACAGGATATTTCATAGATTTTTTTTCTTTAAAAGGAAGGCTAAGTGACAATTGGACTTACGAGTGAATATTTTTTAAAATAGATTAAGATACCGTTTTCCTATTGATGGGGAAAAATACATTCTATGCCTAACCACCATGGTTGTTTTGTAGACTTTATTATTAACTGTTAATTTTTTAAAACTCATTTTTAAGCCATTTACCCCAAAAGAAACATTTTTCTTATGTTATTAGTTATTATATGACCACTGTATTTATAAACAGGTGAGAACAACTGCTCCAGAAAAATACAGAGTCAAGCCAAGCAACAGCAGTTGTGACCCTGGTGCATCAGTTGATATAGTTGTGTCTCCCCACGGGGGTGAGTTGTGGCCTGATGGCCTCAGAGGGTGTGCTGGGGTACCTGGGGCCGGGTGAGGAGTCCATAGAGCCAGACTAGAATCTAGAAACTAGCTCAGTGTCAACAAGTCACCTCACTGCACTGTAGGCATCTCTTTTCTCATGTGTAAAATGAGATGGGTCAATGTTTCTCATTACAATGTGTTTTTTTTTTAAGATTTTATTTATCTGAGAGAGAGAGCAAGCATAAGCAAGGGGAGTGGCAGGCAGAAAGAGGGAGAAGCAGGCTCCCCGCTGAGCAGAGAGCCCAGCGTGGGGCATGAGCCCAGGAACATGACCTGAGCCTAAGGCAGACGCTTAACTGACTGAGCCACCCAGGCGCCCCTAAAATGGTTTTTTAGCACATAAAATTGTTTAAACGGATGCCAGTTGAAATGGGATTTTTTTTAAAATCCTTTTTAGAAAATTTTTTCTTTAAGGTACTTCCGTATTATTCTTTTTCCATTGTTTTCTACAATAATGCCTTAAACCACGTGTCCAGCCCTTTGTAAAGGTTCTTGTTTATATAGTAAGTTACCCTTTTGGAATGCAGGTTTAACAGTCTCTGCCCAAGACCGTTTCCTGATAATGGCTGCAGAAATGGAACAGTCATCTGGCACGGGCCCAGCAGAATTGACTCAGTTCTGGAAAGAAGTCCCCAGAAACAAAGTGATGGAGCATAGGTATGCTTTTTTACTCAAGGACTCTCAAATGTGATGGGAAGCAGCAGAAGGAGAGAAGTGCCTGCATGGACTAGGCAGGGGTCTCTTCCTTCTTGCATTTGGCAGACATTTAGGCTTCTAGTGTGACCTCAAGCTCTCCAGGGCCCTGGGGTGCCCAGGTGAAGGCGATCTGCAGTTTCTCAAGGAGGTTGCTAATAGCAGACTTGTTTACAGGTCAGTGCAAGAATCTGGAGGTGTCAAAATTACAAACGTAGATCTCTCTGTACCAGCAGTTCCCTTTGTAGGAACACTCACCCTGTGTACTAGAATGTGTGTCTTTCAACATTGTGCTAATGAAAAAATGGGAAAGAAAGAACCTAAATGATCCTCAGTAAAGCAATAGTCAAATGCACTTGAGTATGTGTGGGAGTATTCTGCAACTATTTGAAACAGTGTGGTAAATCTTTATGTTCTGATATGGAAAAATACCTATGATATATTAGGAGGAAAATCCTTTGCCTACATCGGCATATACAAGCCTGTATGTGCATGTAAAGATCTATAGAAAAGGAGAAAAGAGGAGAAACCTGTGTAATTTTATTTTGGAGTGTGCCAGTTCTGCCTCCCAGGGGACACTTGTCAGTGTTGGAGAACGCTGTCCATTATCACAACTGGGCTTTGGGGTACTGTGGCATCCAGTACTTTGAGACCAGGGATGCTGCTAAACATCCCACAATGCAAAGAACAGAGCCCCCCCCCCCCCCAAGACAGAATGATTTGGCTCAAAATGTCAGTAGTGCCTAGACTGAGGATTCTCCATGGTGGGTAGTTAAGGAGGGCCACTCTGATGACAAAAATGTAGGACCTGAAGGAAAAGAGAGTAAGCCACTTAGATAACTGGAAAAAGTGCTTTCTAGGTGGAAGGAACCACAACTGAAAAAGTGTGCTTGGCCTGTGTAAGGAACAGCAAGGAGGGAAATGTAGCTTGAACTCAGTTCAGGAGGGTGGGGGAGACAATGTGGGAGATGAGGTCAAAGAGGTAGTAGGAAGGCAGATGATTACCATAGTGAGGACTTCTGATTTTGAGAAGAAAAACTATTAGTCTGGTGCTAAGCAGAGCCAGGAAGTGATTTGGCCTTTTTTAATTAATTTTTTTTTTAAGGCTTATTCTGGGGGCTATGTGGAAAACAAACTCTAGGCAGACACATGTGACAGTGATTCTGAGTTAACACAAATAGCGCGTGCTGCAAGCCTGCACCATTCTAAGTGCTTTACTCTGATTTATTCACTTCGTCATTAAAATGACCCTAGGAGGTAGGTAATTCTTTGTCCCCCTTGATAAATGAGAAGCTGGGAAACCTCTTAACGGCCATGGCTGGGTTAAATCTTCAAAAGGAATTGAAAGAATACAGATGTGGCTGGAACACAGAGGTGAAAGGATCCAGGGTAAGAAGAAAGCTGGAGGGGCGGACAGGGCCCAGAGGAGGAGCTTGGTCACCCTGGTGAGACCCATGGGAGAGCGTCAACCTGACCTGAGTCACCTTTGACAAGATCACTGCAGGCTTGTTCACAGAAGGGAGGAGGACAGGAGTGGGCCTGGGAAGATAAGCTTTATTTCAGTTGTCCCAGCCTAGAGGAGGATTTAGTGGCCGGAGGACGACCGTCCATCAGGGACTCAGGAGGGAAACCAGTAGGTGAGCTCTGTCATCCAAGTCTAGGAAAGTGTGTTTGACAAAAGAGGAAGGGACCAGTGCTACTAAGTGCTGCCATGCCAATCAGGAAGGATGAAGTGTGAGCGGTGGCTATTGGTGACATCACAGAGGCCATCACTGACCTCATAGAGAGCATTTTCAGTGGGCAGGAACCAGGTTCTAAAGAAATGAAGGTAATAGCACTGTTCTACAGGTTTGGTTTGTTGGAGGAAGGAAGAATGTGGTGTTGACAAAGGGCTTGTTTGGTGTGGGTTTTTCAGTGGGAGAAGCCGACTCTAGAAGGTAAATCATTGATTGATAGGTCCTGTCCCTTCAGCTTTCTCAGGAATTGCACTAAAGCCAAGGTATGGGTCAGCTTTAGTCAGGAAGAAGGAAGGAACGCAGATACACATTAAGGCTCGTGGTGGGCTTGACTTGTTTTTAGATGGAGTAGTTACATATTTAAATTTCCATATTGTAACAGGGTCTACTTTCTCCTCATCAAGAGTTTACTTTTGTCAAAGGCATGGCTATGAAAACAAACTGAAAGATTAAGTAACACTGGTATAAAAGATGGAGATTAATTTGAAGTTCTTATCAAACAGTCCCTCAAAAGCAGGTTATTTTTTTCTTTTTAAATCAATTCCTTATGGTTTGGTTTTCTGTAAGTCAAGAGAGGCTCACTTACCTCACAGAAAGAGGGAGACTTGGTGGTTTGATACTGAAGGCCCAGGTAAAGCAACGACCCCTATCTAGAAAGGGTGGTTTCCTTCAAGTAGTAAGATGGGGTGAATTCTACTGAACACCATATAAAAAAAACTTTTCCTAGGTTCTTGAGCGGTATGTGTGATTGCTTGTGTTATTATACATTGCCTCTACCCACCTTAAATACCATCTCCAGCGAAAGACAAAAGTGGGGAGCGGGGAGCCAGTTATGAGAGGTTATCAGGAAAAGCACAGTCAACAAGGGTAAGGTTATTTTACAGATTTAGATTAATTCCTCTCCTCGAAGCCCCTGAGCCTGCCAAGGTAAGGGACCTTCCTTACTCACCTGGTGAGGCTGTCCAGAATTCTGTAAGCAAGGTTACAGGTCCATTTTTTCCAAGGAGCTTTATTGGTTCCATAAAGTCAATCTTAGTTCCTTAAAGTTCTGGTCATACCTGATTTTATGCATATTATTTTCAAATATGACATTCCAGTCAAAGCCTTGGTAATAGAACCATGCTTCCAGTTGTGTCCTATTAATTACAAGGAGAACAGATTATTCGGGAAAAAAAAAACTATTACCATGAAAGAATACTAAGAGTTTCTGAATTCTGGAGGAATCAGGTAGGGAGAAAAATGGTTTCAGTCCTGATCACAAAGGTAGTTTACCGAATTACTGCCAATCATAGATAGCTTATGAGAAAAGAGTAAAAGATTACCTTAAATCTGGGAAAACCAAACATTAAAGAACCAGCAATAAAAAGTATAGTCATCAGTTCATTCAATCCCATGTTATTAATTCTTGGTCTGCTTGAATCCTGTTTTTTTTAGTTCTGGAAGTTCTTACCCAGTTCAGTCTTATGATCTGGACGTTATTAGAAACCTGTTTTTGGGAGTACTTGTCAGAGTCCTTTCCATGAATCTCTGAAGATGAAGCCCATTTGCAAAAGGATCAGAGTAAAACAATAGCTTCTTTAAGTGACAAAAAGACTTAAAAATGGCCATGGTTACAGATCTGATGAGAGTTTATGGTAATACAGCTTCTGACAAGGAAATTTGGTTATTTCTGTGACATATACAGCATTGTAAGATAATAACTAGAATTACAAACCATAACGTTATACCACGACATTCTAGGAATTTTATACAATTTCTGGAACACTTTTATATTAATAACATACCTATACAAATAGAATCTAAAGAAGGTTTAGTATTACTTATTTGACAATGCTTCCCATGTAATTTAACGTAGCAAATAAGCCTAATTAGTTTTACATCTTTTTTTAAGATTTTATTTATTTATTTGACAGAGACAGCTAGAGAGGGAACCCAGGCAGGGGGAGTAGGAAAGGGAGAAGCAGGCCTCCTGCCGAGCAGGGAGCCCGATGCGGGGCTCGATCCCAGGGCCCTCTGAAAAATTTCAGAGATGTTCAAGGTCAAAAAGACTTCATTTAGAATTTGAGTTGGGGTCTGTCAAAAACGTCAGAAGGTTTTAGACACTTTAGACTAAATGGGATCATAAGTCATCATGAAATAATAATTATCCATTTAACCATAGTGACAATAAAATATCAAAGGCACATACAGTTACATAATTGTGAGTAAAACTTAGGAAAATAGTCTTCTAAAGATTAAAAGAGCTGAACAATCAAAGAGCTGTTGATAAAGATAACATGGAGCACAGGAAATTATTTTGATAAAACACACCATCTTTGCTTTCTAGGCAGATTACTTAAAAGCTAAAGAAAAGCCTTTTGCAGTCTCTTCTCAGTAGCTGACTGATAGTCCAAGAAAAGGTTGTCCTTTTAGCAGATGAAATTTTTAGTTTTACATAAGTACACTGTTGATGTTGAAGCTTATTTGTATATAACCCTTATAACTAATACATTCAATTTTAGCCAGCTTGACTACACAAAGTGAAATTTTCTCTTTCCAACTGTCTATATCCATTTAGTTTGTCCTTTATTATCTTCCCTATTCTGAAATAACCAGCTTTATTATAAGAGAAAATTACTTTCATTCCCCTTAACAAAAATACATGTCCATACTTCATACATTTCCTCAGCCAAAACACATCCTATTTTCCTTGCACATGGAGTTAGTTGCTTCTATTATTTCTAGCAATTACATATATGAATTAGAATTCTTAACCCTTAGAAACCATGATTTCTAGTGAAAACTAAGTGGTAAGCAACTGTGTTAACACCAGCATTCTGTAGATTGGCGAATTTGTGAATACATCATTTCTAGAAGCATATGCTTTCTCATAGTACAGTTTTTCAGTGTGGCACAAGATAGATATGTTTACTAACAGACTAAATATTTTTAGTCCCTCTGTAGTAAGAAGCCAAAAGTAGATATTTAAACCGATGTTTAGTAATTAATGTTTCAGTATTTTATCTTACAGTCAGTGAATTTCCCGTCTAACTTAGCAAAACTAAAGTTTCAAGTTGTCAGAGATTTGAAAACCTGTTTTTAAGTAGACTTCACCTAAAAACTCTTATCCAACTTACTTCTAAATCACTTGCTTCCAACAATTATGCTTGACTACTCATGACAGCTTCATGAAACATCAGAGTCAACCATCATCCCAAGCTATTTTTCGTGCTGACAAATTATGTACCCAAGATAACATGAACCCATCTGAATAGTAAACTCCAGAAGAAAAAAAAAGTTGCATGTCTGCATTGTACCTAATATTGACAACTTTAAACCAGCAAATTTAGCTTTTATTTTACCTAGAATTAATATATATCACATGAACTTGAAAGACACGGGTTAGTTTCTGTATTTCTAAGAGGTTTAGGAATACTTAACTTGGTAAGTACTTATTTTTCTTTAAGCCAATCAAAGAGAGCTTTTACGAATTAATTTTCACAATACCATCCTGAGGTGGAAAAGTATTACACATCTGTAACATATATATAGAGACACACATAAACGTAGAGACACACATAAACATACAGACACAGAGACCTTTTAGCTATAGCTCTAAAATTTTAGCCATGAATCAGGTACAGTAACACAAAACTCACTAGTTTATATAAAAGAACATTTACGTTCAAATTGTGTTTCTGCAGTTGGAATCAGTTTGCCTGCTCAGATGGCTAAAAGCTTTTTACTGTTTTGTTTTTTTTTTTCATTTGCCAAAATCCCAAATAACCCCTTTTTCCTTCTGATGAGAATCACTTCCCTAAAGTTTGTATTTCAAAGAGGTAGCTGTCAGGTCCTAGAGAAGATAGGGCAGAAAATCTGTACCTCAAAGGAACAGAGAAAGTATCAAGGAGTTTTGGGATATATTTGCCTATTATCTGATGTCTAAAGTAATTTCTATTTCTGTGTTCTTTTTCTTAAGCACAGGACAGTTCTGTTTTCCAACATCCTGATCTTTTACAGTACCTACATGTATTTTGAGATGACTAGGGGAGGTTTTAGGATTGGTAAGGTTAGGTGGACTTCGAATTGCTTCCAGTGTTGCATTTCTGGTTTTGTAAAGATTTGCAATCAAAGACAGTTGCTTTTAATTACTCAAATAATTCTCTTGCAGCCTGAATGGTATCAAGGGACTGATACCACCCATGCAACTACATTTTCTTCAATTTGTTCTATATCTGGGAGAAATTTCCAACTAAGATGGAAAGGAAGTGATTTCTATGTTTTGGAGCTTCAGGGTTTAATGCACTATGCCTTTATTTTATTTTATTTTTAAAGATTTTATTTATTAATTTGAGAGAGAGAGAATGAGAGAGAGCACATGAGAGAGGGGAGGGTCAGAGGGAGAAGCAGACTCCCTGCCGAGCAGGAAGCCCGATGCGGGACTCGATCCAGGGACTCCAGGATCATGACCTGAGCCGAAGGCAGTCGCTTAACCAACTGAGCCACCCAGGCGCCCCATTGCACTATGCCTTTAAAAAGTTTATGTAAAGTATTCCACAAAGGCCTTAAAGGGGGGAAAAAACCCTGTACTATTGCTTCTAGCAGCCCCCAAACATCAGCCTTCAGCTGACCCATTTCCTGAACATTTGTGGGAGGGCCTGGGAGAAATTCTGGTCATGTTTCTAGTGAGGAGAGTTTTCCATGGGGGAGCCAGGTGGCTTGTCTGATAACTACAGTATAATCGTGGGTGGGAAGAACAACCCTTAGCAGCTAGTCACAGTCCCTGTGAGTGGTGAATGAGTGGCCACTAATCTTTTACCTCTTCTCTATATTTGGCACGTATCTTCTGACCGTGGAGGTAAGAAGAACTTCATAATTTCATCTTGCTTAGGAAGTCTCTCAGGCTGGTGGCCATTCTCCTTCATATTCTCCTTTCAATTTGGTCTTTCCAGAGGTACGAGTAAGACAATTGCTTAGGATGAGAGCTCTCTCAAAGTTTTTTAAACATAGAAGCTTTTCCAATGCAAAAGATCCATCATCTGGCATTGAAAAGTAGGTTCTTATATTAATCTCAATAGCGACTTGACTCAAGCCAATAGGCCTTCTTTTGGTTTAACCATGGACATAAAGAGGCATCCCCAGAGACGTGCAAAAAAATGCAGTCCTCACAGGATCCCCAGAGTTAGCATAAGAAAGCAAAGACTTCCATTGCCCCAAGTGGTAAGAATGGGGTAGTGAAGGTGCTATCTCTCCTTTCCCACAAGAATGTGAGAGGCCTCCAGTCTAAGACCCTCTAATCTGTGACATCAGGAAAGGGTTTACTGGATTGGACTTTTCCAGCACTAATGACCACAAAAGCTGAGACGACAAAGGCCCCTGATGGATTGGGGCCCCTAATGACAAACTGCCCTGAGAGCTGGCACAGCTGGACAGAGAGGATGCTGCCTGTCACTTTGTGCCTCAGATCCCCAGCCTATTCCACTAGCTGCCAGACACCTGTGGACACATGCATCCTCCCCAGCTGACAGGGACCAAAAAGAATATTCTTGCTGGTCACAACACCAAGCTCTCGAGACCTAGAACAAGATGAAACGAAGACCTCATTTGACCTATTTTCTTCTGCTAATCTAAATTTGGAAAGGAAGGGACAAGGTCAAATTTTGACCTTTCTCTCTCGACCTGGCACCAGAGTGAGATCCAGGAAAGCGGGCTTTGGTAAGAATTCTTACCTTTGCCGGCTTTTGCCGGTTTTCCATGCTCCCATCTGTAGGCTCCCAGGCGAGTACGGTGTTTCAGCAGGCCCCAGCGTAGGTTGCCAAAATGTAGGAGAGGAAAAATTATTTATCATCTACCATGCTAGGTTCTTGGCTGAGACCCCCACCCCCTGAAATAAAAGACTAATTAATAGGAGAAAAGCAGAAGTTTAATACCATGTATACCTCCTGTATATATGGGAGAGACCCAGGAAAACAGTTAAACTCCCCAGAGTGGCCCAAGACACCACCTTAAATACCATCTCCAGCTCAAGACAAGATGTTGGGGCGTAAGGGAGTCCATTATGGGGGGCTGTCAGGAAAATCACAGTGAACGAGGGTAAAGTGGTTCAGCAGATGTCGATTGGTCCCTTTTCCATTAAATGTTAATTTAAAAAAAAATCTTCCCTTTAACAACTCACTTGTACTAAAAATAAAAAATTAAAAAAAGAGTTCTTAGAGATTTCTGTCATCCCCTCGTCCTGGCAGGGAGAGGAAGACACCCTTATAGATGGACCTTTCCTTCCCTTATTGATGTCCGTGTCCCTGACAAAAGGTTTTCAAAGCTTTTCTTAGGTCTGCTGTTTCTTAAAAAATGACCAGCTCCAGATAATCCTTATGCCAGAGAGGCGCATTTGGGGGTGGCCAGTTGTGCTCCCCTTCCGAGATAGATCCACAGTGAGCTGCCACCATACACGTGTATCTGGGGAGGAGGAGGACTTTCATCCCGGTTACATGAACTTCTGTGTTTGACTTTTCTCACATTATACTTTTATTAAAAAAATTTCATTAAAAATTTTAAGAAGTTATGTTTCCTTTGGACTTTCATAGGTTAAGATGCCATATTGTTGAGAGCAGTAAACCAACCACTCTGACATTAAAAGACAGTGCTTTTAACATGTCTGATAAAACCAGTGAAGATCTTTATCTGCAAGTAAGTGTTCTTTCTCCCTAACTAAAACAGAGGTGTTAATGCTAACTAATATTAGAAATCCACTTTTTCCCCACTGATGTAAGGAAGACCTTTGGCATAGACATGACAGAAATGCTCTTCTCTTTGTGAAGGGAAGCCAAATCTGAAATCGTAAGCGGTGAGTTACTTTTGGAGATCTATTAACTTTTGAAAAGCTCTGGCCATTTTAATTTGGACAAGTTGTATGGTGCCTGGGGGAGTACCAAAGAATCTGATCTCATGAGAGGAGTACCATTTCAACTTGAAAAAGATGGAGGGGCTCTCTTTCTGAGCAGCTGGTTTAGGTACCTCCAGGAAGGTACTTGCTTTGCTCCTTCTCCGCTAGAAAATTAGACCTTTCCAAAACAGGAGTAAGAGGGTGCACGGCTATTCACCAAACAAATGCAATCCCTCATGGCATTGCCAGCTCCCAGCTGCTCAGAGTGGATAGACCCCATCCTGTAAATGGTTGGGTTTCTAGTATTCCTATTTGTCGTTCACATGATTGATGTACTGTTTTACTGATACAAATCTTTCATCCTTTTTTCCCTCTTTAGCTCAATCGTTTACTAGAAAGCAATAGGAAGCTTGAAGACCAAGTTCAGCGTTGTATCTGGTTCCAGCAGCTACTGCTTTCCTTAACAATGCTCTTGCTTGCTTTTGTCATCTCTTTCTTCTATTTGCTGTACAGTTAAAGAAGTGGCACTCGGTAGGAAACAAGGCTCTTTCGTTCATTAGTTGGAAAAAGACCCAGAACTTCATGCTACTAAAAGTGCCGCACATCTGTGCTTCCTGAAAGGAAATTTGCCACACTTAGAGGGGAACATGTCTTGAAAATAAAGTCTGTTAGAATAAGGAAACACTGGAGAAATTGATTATAAGAGAGTATAGCTGTAGTTAGCCAAGTCAAGGCATAGCCGTGTGTAAATTAATACTTTAGATATAATTTATTTTTTCCTTTCGATTTGAAGACTTCTGAAGTTTAAGTTGTATTATATATATACATTAGCTGAACTGAAAAGTGTAAGTAACAAGCTTTGTTGCAGCCAAAAATGTCATCTGCTGTTTTTAATGACAAAATCATTATAGCTGAGCCAACTTACTAGCTTTTCTATACTATGTATATAGAACATGTATATTGAAAAAACCATACTTATACAGAGTAATTTCTTTAAACATGACTTTGTAATTTTGAGAATTACTTCCAGATGCTAGTCAATATTCTTTGAGTATGTAAAACTATTTAATGCCAAACCACCTTTAGCCTTTGTTTCTTATCTGTCTTCCTTAAAGTCTGCCTTTTATTAATCTTGGACTTTTTAATGAATACTCACATTTAGGTAGAACTGGGGAAACTAAGTTTGGTTGGGTTTTCCTTGAATTCTGTCAGTGGCACGGAGAAGAAAAATCCTTTCAGTCCCACTTTCCAGTCTTTTTTATGCGGTGTCACATTGCTCACGGTGGCTGGACACTGACCCGTATGCTTCAGTAGTATTAGAAAGGCCTACTCCAATGTTGTACCATCTTCACCCTCTTTTCTAAACGAGTTAAAATTTCTTTGAAAAGTTAGTTTTTGAGAGGCATAGCCGTAGAATTCATTTACATTTCAGGTCCTTGTTAAAATCAGCCACCAGAAGGAAACTTGACAAGAAGACTAGATAGAGGATCTAGAAGCATGACAAAAACAAATCAAAACTCCAGTGTCAAGTGTCCATTTCTGAGTGAAAAGTAGAACTCATGATCCACTTGTACCACCTTCAGACTGGGGCTGATGGACTTGCTGGATCCTCTGCCCTTGTCACAGTAATCCCAAGGGTGGTTCCTGAGTGCCTAAGATGATACGACTCGCAGGGGCAGAGGTGGATGAAAAGAGTTTGTTTTCTCATTTATACAGCCAGTTTCAGTCCGTGTTGGTTCACGTGTAAATCTACTTGATATGAAAGAAAAAGAGTCTGCCTGTTAAATAAATGTTGAGTTTTGATTGAGCCATGCTTGGAGAATGTTTTCTTCTGAAGTGTGGTGTTGGCGGCTTTCGTCTGGAGAAGCTGACGATTCCAACACTGAGTTGTGAAGAATGATATAATAGAGTCCCTTCAAAATTGGCCTAGAAATAAAACCTTAAAAGGACACTGGTCTGGTAACTTTGTCTTAATTTGGGTTTTTCTGTTGCAGTTTGCCAACTCCAGACGTGAAAGTGACTTCAGTACACCCTAAGCCGTAGTATCTCCCTGTGTGTGTGTCACATCCCCGGCTTGACTGTCCTCTAACCCCAAAGTATTTGTGTATGTTTTCTGTTCCTCAGCAGAGACATGAGGAAATCATTGGTCAGAATTGGAAGCGTGCTGTCCTAACTAACAGTGTCCCTTTAATGTTTCTGATGAAAATGACATTGACTCGCTAAGTTGTTCTTCCCTGATGTCTGGCCAGTTCATTGAATAACCTATCTTGTTAATGTTTGTGTGTCTATTCAATGTGACTATGCAAGATTACTGAAAATTAACTATAAACTCAAAGGCATCTGAACTTTTGTTCTCGTCTTAACTAATCACCTATTTACATTTGATTTTCTTCTGTCTTCTTTTGATTTTATTTCATCATACTTTGTATGATTATTACTCTGAGGACTCTGATAATAATTTTTTTTTTTAGCTTGTCATTAGCTGTTCGTGACCAGATTACCAGGGATCAACATTGAGATTTAGATTGTTTTCACTTGAGAATGGAAATTAATAGACTTTCCATGAAAATAAACTATCATTAGCTTGATCTGAAACTAGCCTAAAAATGCAATTGCGGTTAAGCCTAGCCTCAAATTTCATAGTAATACCATAACTGTTTTTATATCTTGCCACTAATTTTGACTGGATTTAATAGCACTTTATTGTACAATTGCAAAAAAAAAAATATATTCCTAGAATTGTTGCCAGTGTAATTTCTCTAATATTCTGGTGCTTTTCATATATTTTCAGTATTTTTATTACTATATTGGTATTTTCTTTGTATAATTGATCAAAAGAACATGTTTTCTATTTTAATATGTTTTAGAAAAATAATTACATTTATGAAATAAATATCATCAGGAAAAACCTCTGGTCTCTAATTGATAAAGCATCTTAAAATCAATGCTCAGGCATACTCTGACCTTTCAAAGATCCCATTAATTTCTTTTGGACCTGCTTTGCATTTTTATAAGGACAGTGCTGTAAGCTTCCAGAGTTACAATTGTGTTATCAGGTGAACCTGTCCTTTGTATGTCCCGTTTCTCCTCAACCCGGGTCAGGGTCTGGTTACTCTTCAGTGGAGCTCTCCGTTATCCCCAAGCTTAACACTGGACTCACTGTCATGACTGGGGGCTCCATCATGGAACCTTCTGTAGAGCTGCCCCACATGAGCCAGAACTGCCCAACGTCCCCTCAATCCTAGTACACCTTCCCACCTGACAGGAAGCAGGCTGTGGAGAGACAGCCCTACCTGGCTCCTGGGTCCCTGGAAGGCAGTCCCTGTGCTGAGGCATCCCCAGGGTGTGGGTGTGGTTGGGAGGGGCCTGAGAATGATTGGTGTGGTCCCCTCACCACTGGAAGATAACCCCCACGTGATAGCTACCACTCCATAAAAATAGAATAACACAGATCCATCTTCTAAACTGAAAAAGAGGTGGAAATACAAACCGATAAGAGAAATTCAGAACAGAGCTACAAAGACAAAATGGTAACCTACCAAGAAGCAGCACATCTGCCCAGGACTGTGAGGCCGTGCCCTCCCTTCCTAAGAGATACAATTTTCTAGGAAACAAAAGCTCCTGGGGGGAAATTTCCAGCTAGGGAAGGATTGGTTCCTTTACACCCATCTTCTGCTTTCTCCCCAAAGTTTTCAACAACTCGAAGTTCCCTGATGTCCGAACAACATCAGCCCCCAGAAGCACAGGGCTCCCCTTCTTCTCCCTGCCCCAGGAAGACAGAATGGAAGTTGTCCCGTCTGTTCCATTGGAGGCAAAGGCGGTTAGGAGTGAGGGCTCTGTAGTCAGGCTAGCTGGGTGCATGCAGCTGCCCTCCGCACCACCTGCTGCCTGTGTGACGGCAATGTTAATTGACGACCTTGGGCCTCAGTTTCCCCATCTCTGAGGCTGATAATCGTAGTGCTGCTGCGCAGGACGACTGTGACAGTGAGGGGAAAGAAGGCACTTGAAGCAGCCCTGAAGAGGCTGGCCTTGCTTTACTGCTGTTGCCCCCAACACCTTCCATCCCAGCTTCCTAGAACTTTCCACATTTGGGTTGATCTTACTGAATATACCACCTCATTCAAAGCCAATCATCAGTTCTCCAAACTTTTCCCTGCTTTGTACTCCCACCCTTGCCTTCCTGCTACCCCACTCCTAATTCTAGTGCTCAGGTCAAGGGATATACTTTAGAAGGGTAGTGATGACTGGCTGCCTTGAATCCTCTGAAGGAATATCCCTTTCAAAAAAACACTTTGGTCAGATGTTTCCTTCTACCATTGCACCCACACCCCTTCAGAACAAACACACGGAATTGACCTCTCAATATTCCACCCATAAGTTTCCCTTAAATTTGTAACAATTCAATAAAAATATCACATAGGCTCTTTTACATCTTGTAATTTTGTCCTTCCATGGAATAAAATTAACTCCCTGAATTGTCTAAAGATTCTCTTCCTATCCTACCCACTGGTGTCCCCTGCCATGCAAAATAAAACTAATCTACACGTTAAAGTATTTGAGACAACTGGTTCAATGGGCAAGAATATAGAGGAACATCTCCTTGACCCAGAGGGGCAAAATAGGTGCACACTTCCAAGTCTTTCTAAAGGGGGAATTTGAGTGGTTCTTGAAACTCTACCAGTTGGCCCATGCTCCTTTGTCCTCAACCGTCTGGGAATACATAATAAGGTCTTGTGTTTTACCCAGAAGGAAACCCAAGGCCAGAGAAATAATTCTCGTTCCAAGGTCATGTGGCTAGTTGCTTTCAGAGCCAAGAGTTGAACTAGTCTCCCAAGTCTAATGCTTATCTGTTTTACAACCACCCAGAGCCAATCTGAGTGATAGTTTAAAATGTTCAAAGGACAGGTCTGAGAACTTTACCGTCACCAAACAGCAGGAGAGGAAAAGAGAAGATCAACTACTTAAAGAGAAGCAGAGGTGACAAGACACAATTGCCGCTCAAGACCCTTGGCTGGAAAAGTAAGTTTCTTGGTTTTCTAAGCTACAGACCGTACTTTGACAAAGATGTGAAACCTATGGGTTAATGTACTATTTACTTGGGTGGAGGGTTTTGGCTTGCATCCTCAGCCTTGTCAGAGGTTTATCTAGCACTCCAGAGAAGGGCATCTACTAGCTGTGTGGCTCAAAGTTGTCTCAGCCACAGTCTAGTGACCTCAAGGAGTCTTGTGTTCAATAAAATTAGAGCATTTAAGTTTTCTGTTTCCATGTAACAAATGACCACAAATCTACCATCTGAAAACCACGCAAATTATCTCACAGTTTGCATGTGTCGAGCCTGGCACAACGGGGCTGGGTTCTTGGCTCAAGGTCTTACAACACTACAGCTATGCTGTCAGCCAACTGCATCCTCCCTGGAGGCTCAACGGGATCAAGATCCACTTCCAAGTGCCTTCAGGTTGTTGGCAGAATCCTTTTTCTTGGGGCTGTAGGACTAAGGTCTTCAAGTTCTTGCTGGCTATCAGCCGGGGACTGCTCTTCAACTCCTAGAGGCCACTCCCAGGCCTTTGCTAAATGGCCTCCTGGATAGGCAGTACACAACATGGCTGTTCTCACTTCAAATCTCTTCTTTCAGGGAGGGCCCCGTTAAGGGATCACCTGATTAGGTCAGGCCCACCCAGGACAATCTCCCTACTGATGAACTCAGAGGTAACTGATGAAGAACCTTAATTATATCTGCAAAATCCCTTCTTCTGTATAAGCTAACTTGGATTATGAAAGTGCTATCCCATCACATCCACTAGCTCTGGCCCCCACTCAAGGGGAGAGGGTTACACAGGGTGTGTTGGGTGGGAATCTGTAAGCTCATCCAATCTAGTCCCCCCATTTTGCAGATCGGGAAATAGAGGGTCAGAAAGCTAAACCAACCTTACCCAGTCTAACTGCTTTGAATTCACAGATGTCCTGCACAAGAAAATAGCCTAGAATTATGTTAGGCACTAAATGACAGGCATGGGGACAGTAGGTCTCTATCCCAGTTGGCTTTCTCCAGTCTCATAGCTTCAGTGCACACATGTATTCAGACTTTTATAAATAAACTTAAGGGAAAGTGTGTAGCCAGTATTTTCAACATTTGTTCATTATACACCCCAGATACATTCTTACAATGGATTAACTGTGCTAGGGCAAAGGGGACTTGCAGTAATTATGTGCTTTTGTAAACAAAGCTCTAGTGGAAAACAGTTTTTTGTTTTTTTTTTTTAAATTTTATTTATTTATTCATGAGAGACAGAGAGAGAGAGAGAGAGAGAGGCAGAGGGAGAAGCAGGCTCCCAAGGAGCAGGGAGCCCGATGCGGG